TAGATTTTGTTTTTAGAAACTAAAAAATATAAGACTGCAAAACAACGATAAAACTACTGAGTCGAAGATAATTGAGATTAATGTCAACAAATCCATGGATGAGGAGAACAGACAAGACAACGAAAGACATTCTATTGTTCAAAAAGCTATAGAAGAAATTGACTTAAACACACCAACACAACAAGTAGTAGAAGAAATTAAAGAAGAAGAACAACAAAAGCATGGAAATGAAATTCCAGTAGAAACAATTGATCACGGTTTAAATGAAGACTCTTACATCAATTTTTCACCATTTTGGAAAAAGAAAGATGGAACTAAAATACCTGAAGGTACTAAAGCTGTTCTTAAATTAAATTTATTGAATGAAGTAACAGAATACCTTAAAGTTAATGAACCAAAGAAGAGTGCATCTGACAGACTTCGTTTTGAAAGAAAGCCAAGACTTCGAGCTACATTTCTTGAAGATAGTGCACATAAAAGAATCAACGATATGATAGATGGAATAAAGAAAAGTCGAAAAGAAAAGAAACCAAGAAAAGATTGTGTTTGTGGGCTTGACCTTCTGCAAGAACCGAAAAGAGATAAATTAATTATACTTCTCCGTTTAGTAGAAAAGTGTAATGAAAATCAAATTGATGATATAATAGAATATATTAAGCATAGTTATATTGTTGTAGAATCATCTTCCTTAAATATTTCATCTATTCCCACTATTTCTGAACAACCCTTAGGTATACATAATCAAATTGAAGTACAAGAACATCAAATGCCATTGATAGGTATGGCTGAAAATCAATGTAATCTTAGTCAACAAAAAGATGACCACATTACTAGTTCTTCTAATTAATTCATTTATTCTTTATTTACTTACATATCATTCTGTATTCTTCTAAATTGGTTCTCATTTAAAAATATATCAAGGCTCCTGTACTTAATTTGATATTAAAATTAGTTCATAAAGTATAATGAGAAGTCAACATTTATCACAATTTTATTGGTACAATTCTTACTACTTCTTCTATTCTTATTCTTTCTTTCGGTTCTTGTTTCCATGTTTTTTCAATAATTTCTTTAATGTCTTCTTTAATCTCTTGTATTATTGTTGGTCGTTTACTTGTTGTGATTGATTCTGCAATATCCCATGGATGTGGATATAATGTTTTAGGAAATGGATTGCCATGTAATGATTTGTAACATTGTTATTGAATATGAATATATATCTGATTCCATTTTGTAATGTTCTCGATTAAGTATTTCAGGTGCCATGTAAATAGGTGATCCTATCCCTTTTGTGAATGTCAATTTGTCATCATCATATTAATGTTTCTTGAACTTCCAAAATCTGTTAATTTACAATTAACTCCAATATTATCATCAAGTGTTACAACAAGAAAATTATCTGGTTTAATATCTCGATGTAGTATTCCATTTGAATGAAGATATGAAATTCCTTTTGCTCCATCTATCATGATTTTAATTCTTATTTTATTTGGTATTTCTGTGTTTGTTCTTTTATTAATTAAATCTTGTATTGATCCATATTTTGCATATTCTGTTACCATCATATTTTATTAGGAATAAATACTGCTCCATAAAAATGAATGATATATTCACTTCTAAATTTATCTAACATCATTACTTCTTTCTCAAATTCTTTCATTTTATCTTCATCTTTATCAATTTGTTTCATTTTCTTAATTGCTACTTGATTCCCTCTAAATTCTCCTATATATACAATTCCAAATGATCCTTCTCCTATTTTATTTTCTTCTTTTATTTCATCGGGATCAAGTCGTGTTGATATTTGTGTTTCTCCTTTAATTGAAATACTTTTAATTATTTCTTCTTGTGTTTTATTAAGTGTTTTACTAATTATCATTATTTGTTCTTTAATTTTAGTAGTACATTTGATTGTAATGAATATTTCAAATTCACATGCATATCCTCCTTCAATTGTAATAATATTTGGTTTGATTCTAATTGAATATTTTTCATTTTCTTCTTTACTACTTATTTGTATTTTCTTTTTTTCTTTATTTTCATTTCCAATACATATTATTTCTCTGATTTCTTTATTTACTTCAATTTTTTCTCCTTCTCCTATTTCTATTTCTTTCTAATTAGTTGTTTTCCTTAAAGTTAAATTGTTTTTAATTAAAGAGTTTGATTTATTTTATTCAATTTATTATATCATTCATTCTAGATTTTTTCTTTTATTTTTATCAACTTTAATAATTAATGAAATGAAATGTTAGTATTTATAATGTATTTTTGATGGATTGTAATATCAATCATAAAATATAAAAATTAGTTTGTTAAGGTTATTCTCCTTAATACTCTTTGTTTCTTGTTTTAGTCTTAACTTTCTTTCCTAGGAATCAAATTATTTTTATTAACCTGTATTATGACATCAATGGTTGAGTTAATTTAATTCGTTACAATATCATTTTATATTTATTTATACAGAGTGTATTTATTTTAAACAATCATATCTAATTTATACTCTTTAATTTAATTTATTTATTTTTAAAATATACAAATCAACCTTATTTCATTTTTATTCACATTATATATTGTATTTGACTTAAACTTTTTCATTTATTATTTTACTGATATTTCATTCATTAACGATATTAAATAAACTTGAATATTAAATTATGAAAAAAATTTAATCCAATATGGAAAATAATGGTTATATCAGAATTTATGTCAAAATGTTTCTTGGTTAAATAAAATCTTCTTATTTTTCTATTTTTATAATTCAAAAAAATAATATTTAATAAATTAAATCATTTCAATTACAATGAATCGTTGTGGTGTGAAATTATATCCTCCACAAAGTGCATTTGGTATTTCATAATATTCAAATGACTCTTGTTTACATCGTGATTCAGTTTTATAATTTTCTTTATAAACAAAAATATCATTTCCATTTCCAAATAAAAACAAACCACTATTTGATTGATTATATAAGCAAAATGCATGTTCTGGTTCTTTAGTATCAAATTTCATCATTCCTTGTAATCTTCCATTTGATTCTAATAAAAATACAAATGAATTTGGATCTTTTATAAAATCACCAACTTTATTAATTTTCTCATTAACATATCCTCCAAATTTATTTCCATTTCTCTCTTCAATAATAATTGCTATATGTTCTTTATTTATTATTCTTTGATCAAACACTGACGTATCACCATCCCAATCATCAATATCTGAATCAAATAGTATATTTCCTACTCTTCTTGTCGTCCATTCTTCTATTTGATAAATTTCTTCTATTCTAACCATTCTTTGTAACCTTTCTTCTTCTTCTTGTTTCTTTCTTTCTTCTTCTTTTCTTCTCTCTTCTTCTTGTTTCTTTCTTTCTTTTTCTTCGATTTTTTCCTTTCTCTTCTTTCTGTCTTCATAATCACTATATTGTGTAAACAATTCTTCTTTCTTCTTGATAGAATTTTCTTTAATTTTATTAATTTCTTCTTCGAATGGTTGAAGGTTTTTTTGAGCGTTAATTTCTTCCAAGTAAATAATTTTATCTATTAGTTCATCTTTTGCTTTAATAACTGCTTCTGAACCATCATTACATTCTTCTATTATCTTGTTCATTTTATCCTTTACTGTTTCTATTTCTTTAATTGTTTCTTGACTTTTTACTATTACTTTTCTTCTTTTTTCAACTATTACATCCATTTTATGTAATAATCCTTCTCCCCTTTCAATAGCTTGTTCATACGTTTCATTATCTTGTTTCTCAAATATTTCATTTTTAATACTTCCTAAATAATATTGATAATATTTAGTAGTATCTTCAATTAATTGTTGAATATTAGGAAGTGCTTCCACTATTTCTTTAATTAATTGGTCATTCATGAATAACTCTTCCATCTTAATTAAAATGATTGATATAATATTAAAACAAGAAGATTAAATACACAAATACACGTTTATAACCTATTTCATTTATTATTTTATCATTCAACATAATAAATCAAGCATCATTTAAGTATCATTAATTTTTTAGTTTAATTTTTAAGTTTTAAAATAATATTAATTATTTTATAATAAAATCAAGAAGTTAGAAGAAAATATTAAAGAATAGAAAGAAAGAAGAAAGAAGAATATATCACCTTATATGAAATAACGTCAAAAACACAAAGCATAAATAGAAAAGAGTTTGAGAAAGAAACAGAAAAGATGAAACACAAATATAGAAGAACATCTACTTTCAATCAATTTATGAAATTGTTAAACAAATGATGATACTTAATAATAAATATAAAATAAAAGAATGAAATATAGAAATGATGGAGAAATAAGAATAAAGATGACGTCATCTAGAATTCATTAGACAACTTTGATAAGATAAATGAAGTTAAGAAGTTAAGAGATAAATAAAAACAAATCACTGAACATCAAAAAGTGAAATTCAAACCTATGAGATTGCAGAAAAACAAGAGAAGAGTTAGCTATATACAAAAAGAAAATGAATAACAAAATCAATTAATATCAAATCATCAACAATTTATTGTTTATTTTTTATCTCAGAAATAGAGAAGAAGAAAAACAATGACACTATGATAAATACAAACCAATACTGAAACATCATCATGGACAATATAAATGAACAAAACTACCATTATGAAAAAGATAATATTGGAAATAAAAGAACAAAACACTGAATATCAAACAAAAAACAAGAAATAATAATTAATCAATAATAAAATAAAACACAATAAATCAAACAAATAGAATTTTAATTGATGTGTTGTATTGATTTTAATTAATTTGTTAAATAAGAAATTAAATAAGAAAACAATAAATGAATAAATAGAAAATATAATAAAAATAATAAATAAGAAAATAAATAATGATAAAGAATATATTAATAATATTAAAATATCATATAAAATAAACAACTAAAAGATATATTAAAATGAAAGCGAATTCATTCATAGAAAGTAGAGTGTAATCTAATAATAAAAAACATCAATATAAAAAATAACACTAATGATATTGATAATGAATATCTTAATATGATCATCATTCAATTCAAATAAATGAAAAAGATAAATCATAATTTAGAATGAAAGATACAAGAATTATGATAATATCATCATCACATTAGATGATTTAAATTTAATTATGATGAAAATAAATAACTTGAAATCACTAGATATTGACATTATATATTTATATTAATTGAAGAGAATATCATCATCAAGAGAATATATTCTTAATATATTTAATGAATTGTTAAACTTCAGTGAGTTCATCAAATTAAATATGGTAAATTGAAGAACAATATTAATCAACAAATGAAGTGATATGAACAATGTTATTAATTATCATCACATCAATTGTATAAATATAATTATGAAAATATTTATATCATTATTAAAAGATAATAATCATGATAGAATTAATATGATTAATGAATCATTTAAAATTATTAAAAATCAATTATATGTAAATTATAATTTCTTGATGATAAATAATTAATAATTAATAATTATATATTAAATTAACATAAAGAATAGAAATACACAAAATATATAGATTCATATTATGATATTAGAAAATCATATGACTCAATGAATTATGAATAAGTAATAGAAATATTAAAATATTTTAATATAAAATAAATCAACATAAATAATGTATAAAATATAATGAATATAATCATATGATATAACTATAATAAATATAAATGATATATTAAAATGATAAATTTTACATTATGATTCATTATCATCTCTCTGTCATTATCAAAATAAATATAAATTTTTAAATCAATGAATATAAGTTCAATAATATAAATTATAGGGTTTTTTATTTAGATGCATTATT